TGGTAATCTACACGACATATACTAAGCATGTAAAATATGGTTAGCACCGAGCCTGCCCCGGTGCGGGTCGCGGCGGCGCGCTTGCCGGTGAGCCCCTGCCTGGGGTGGGCCTCGGCATTGACTCGGGGCTGCCCGGGGCCTGGCCCTGAGGAGGGAGTTGCGCGCGCAAGGCGAGGGCCATGGGGCCGAGAAAAGCCGGGGCGACAGCGCGGCGCTGGTGACAGCTGGGACCCTCCGCCGTCGAGCTGCCCCCTCCCCTCGCCCCGACCGCTCCCCTGCTGGCAAGGGCCGGGGGCGGCGGCGGCGGCGGCGGCGCCCCTGGTGGCAGTGGTGGCGGCGCCCGTGGTGGCAGTGGTGGCGGCGGAGGCGGAGGCAGAGCCGGCAGCCGCCCCCCTGGTGGCAGTGGTGGCGGCGGCGGCGGGCCAGCCCCCCGGGACCGTGTCCGGGGCTGGAGAACCGGGCGGCGCCCGGCGAGCTATGTGTGGAGGCAGCGGCACCTCACTGTGTTCCCCCGGTCAGTCTCCTGGGTTTCGCAGAATCCGCCGCGGCGGCGGCGCCGGGACATGGAGCTTGAGAACATCGTGGCCAACTCGCTGCTGCTGAAAGCGTGTCAAGGAGGATATGGCAAAAAAAAGTGGTCGTAGTAAAAAATGGAGGGAGATACTGATGTTGCCTCCTGTCAGCCAGTGCAGTGAGCTCAGACATTCCATTGAAAAGGATTATAGCAGTCTTTGTGACAAGCAACCAATAGGAAGACTTCTCTTCAGGGAGTTCTGTGATACCAAACCCCCCCTAAAGAGGCACATTGAATTCCTGGATGCAGTGGCAGAATATGAAGTGGTAGATGATGAGAACCGAAGTGATTGTGGACTGTCAGTCTTCAATATATTCTTCAATGATAAGAATTACCCATAACTACTTAAGACGGGAACCATTTGAAGAATACCAAGAAAGCTCACATTTTTCCCAATTTTTACAATGGAAATGGCTGGAAAGGCAACCCGTAACCAAGAACACATTTAGACATTACAGAGTTCTAGGAAAAGGCGGATTTGGAGAGGTTTGTGCCTGTCAAGTGCGAGCCATGGGAAAAATGTATGCCTGTAAAAAGCTACAGAAGAAAAGAATAAAGAAAAGGAAAGGTGAAGCTCTGGCTCTAAATGAAAAAAGGATTTTGGAGAAAGTGCAAAGTCGATTCGTGGTTAGTTTAGCCTACGCTTATGAAACCAAAGATGCCTTGTGCTTGGTGCTCACCATTATGAATGGAGGGGATTTGAAGTTTCACATTTACAACCTGGGCAATCCCGGCTTTGATGAGCAGAGAGCTGTTTTCTATGCTGCAGAACTGTGTTGCGGCTTGGAAGATTTACAGAGGGAAAGAATTATATACAGAGACCTAAAGCTTGAGAATATTCTCCTTGATGATCGTGGACACATCCGGATTTCAGACCTCGGTTTGGCCCTGGAGATTCCAGAAGGGCAGATGGTTCGAGGAAGAGTTGGAACGGTGGGCTACATGGGTTCGTCCTTGTCCTTTCTACCTGGGAGCCTGAGTGCCTCAGAACGCGAGAAATGCCACCTGAATGGACCAGGGCCTCGGTTTGAACACTCTAGCAGACGGCACGGTGGTGTTTTGACTCTAACCTGTCAGAGCATTGAGGCTGCTGGGGATCCTCCAGGCTGCCCTTGCCTTCTTACAGATGAGGGGCAAGGCCCAGAGAGGCTGCGAGTCCTGAGGTCACTCAGCGAAGTGAGGGCAGAATTGAGATGACACTTCAGGTCTCCGCACTCTGCCAGTGTCCTCCCCTGTGCACAGCGGCCTCTCGGAGCCTCAGGAAGTCACTCCGCTCTGGTGGTTCCAAAGTTCTGGGGGCGGTGCCAGCCAACCCCAGGGTGGTCTCTGAGGGCCTCACAGGGTCCTGCAGGAAGACCACAAGGTCTTGTGGCTTTCTGCTGTTGTGGCTTCTGGGTTTTTCACTGACCGAGGATAGATGGCAAGACAGGACTCTTGGGGTGCTCTGGGCTTGGCTCTGTGTGTCTGGAGGGAGCCCCTTCAGGAGGTGGAGGCTTCCCTAGAGCACCATTTCCCTTGTGAATGTTACTGTGTGGCAATCAGCTCATCCTGGATGGATCATACAAATGTTTACAAATGCCAGCTTTATTGGAATATAGTTCACATAAAGGCCACCAGTTTGGCCAGGTGTGGTGGCTCATGCTTGTAATCCAAGCACTTTGGAGGCCAAGGTGGGCAGATCAGCTGAGGTCGGGAGTTCAAGACCAGCCTGACCAACATGGTGAAACCCCGTCTTTAAAAAAAAAAAAAAAAAAAAAAAGCCACCAAAAAAAAAAAAAAGAATGTAAAATATTAATTAGTAAATACTGTATTAACATAATGTAGGAGATGAGGAGACTACTAATATTAATGATAATTTCGGGCGTTAAAAAGCAAATATATACCTATTTTATTCTGAGGGTCTCAAAATACATTATGTCCAGCTAATAATGTAAAAAATTTTCCAGTTCTACCTAATTTTGATCGAGGAAAATAATGACTTTTTTTTTTTTTTTTTTTTTTTTTTTTTTTTTTTTTTCAAAATTGAGGCATTAAATGTGTTCCAGGAATACGGACTTTGTCTTAATATTTTACCAATGAAATAATCATTTGGGCTACCTAATGAAAGAATATGATGCCTTTTTGTTTAGATATTTACATAATAGAAGGGAGTCTAGCTTTAAGACAGGTCAAAATTGTCCATGAATATTTTATAAGACTCCTAGAATAGTGGAAGATTTTAACCTCTAAGGTCCTTTAGTAATTCTAAAATTCTATGATATTGAAGTGGGATTTAAAAATTGAGTGAAGATTCCTCTGTTGGAGAGAGATCCAAGATGGCTGATCACTAGCAGCTCGGGATTGTAGCTCCCAGTGAAAACGCAAAGAACGAGAGGACACCATACCTTCACATGAATTCTTGTTGCTCACGCACCAGGAGATTCCCAGCGGAGGAGCCCCACGGGTCGCCAGCGCGACTCTTGTGACCGGCGAGGCGGTTTTGCCGGCGCCTCAGAGCATCGGTTCTTGGTGCAGAGTCAGAAAAGCACCATCAATCTTAACGCCGCTGATTTTGTCGGTGCAGTGGGTTGCTCAGATTTCGGCGCTGATAATCAATAAGTTGGACGTCCACTCAGAAACCCAATTACAAAGACGGTAATTATAAAGACCACAGATGGATAAATCTACAACGAAGGGAAGAAAACAGTCAAGAAAGACTGAGAATACCCAAGATCAAAACGCCTCTTCCTCAGCAGGGGATCCCAGTTCCTCATCAGCAACGAAACAAGGCTTGATGGAGAACGAGTGTGTTCCAATTACAGAAGCAGGCTTCAAAACGTGGATAATAAGAAACTTCTGTGAATTAAAAGAACTTGTTCTAACACAATCTAAAGAAACTAAGAACTTTGAAAAAAGGTTTGACGAAATGTCAACAAGAATACAAAATTTAGAGAGGAAAATAAGTGAATTGATGGAGCTGAAAAACACAATACAAGAACTATGTGAAGTATGCACAAGTTTTAACAGCCGAATTGATCAAGCAGAAGAAAGGATATCAGAGGTCGAAGACCAACTCAATGAAATAAAACTAGAAGACAAGATTAGAGAAAAAAGGATAAAAGGGAACGAGCAAAGTCTCCAAGAAATATGGGACTATGTGAAAAGACCTAATCTACACTTGATAGGTGTACCTGAATGTGACGAAGAGAATGAATCCAAGCTGGAAAATATGCTTCAGGATATTATTCAGGAAAATTTTCCCAACTTAGTAAGGCAGGATAATATTCAACTCCAGGTAATACAGAGAACACCACAAAGATATTCCTCAAGAAGAGCAACTCCAAGGCACATAATCGTCAGATTCACCAGGGTTGAAATGAAGGAGAAAATACTAAGGGCAGCCAGAGAGAAAGGTCAGGTTACCCACAAAGGGAAGCCTATCAGACTTACAGCAGATCTCTCAGCAGAAACCCTACAAGCCAGAAGAGAGTGGGGACCAATATTCAACATCCTTAAAGAAAAGAACTTTCAACCAAGAATTTCACATCCAGCCAAGCTAAGCTTCATAAGTGAAGGAAAAATAAAGTTTTTTGTGAACAAGCAAGCACTCAGAGAATTCATCACCACCAGGCCTGCTTTACAAGAGCTTCTGAAAGAACCACTACACATAGAAAGGAACAAACAGCATCAGCCTTTCTAAAAAAATACCAAAAAGTAAAGAACATCAATATAATGTAGAATTTACATCAACTAATGGGAAAAATAGCCAGCTAATATTAAATGGCAGTATTAAACTCACATATATCATTATTAATTCTAAATTTAAATTGACTAAATTCCCCAATTCAAAGACAGACAGGCAATTTGGACAAAAAACTAAAACTGTATGCTGCATCCAGACCCATCTCACATTCAAGGATACACAAAGACTCAAAACAAGGCATGGAGAGAGACTTACCAACCAACCAGAGAGCAAAAATAAATAAATAAAAAGCAGAAGTTACAATTTTTGCCTCTGATAAAATAGTATTTAAAGCAACAAAGACCAAAAGAAGCAAAGAAGGGCATTATATAATGATAAAGAATCAATGCAACAACAAGAAGAGTTAAAGGTCCTAAATATATACGCACCCAATACAGGAATACCCAGACATACAAGACTTATAAAGAGACTTAGACTCCCACACAATAATAGTGGGAGACTTCAACATTAATATTAGACAGATCAATGAGACAGAAAATTAACAATGATATCCAGGACTTGAACTCAGATCTGGAACAAGTAAACGTAATTAACATTTATAGAACTCTCCACTTTACACAAAATATACACTCTTATCAGTACCACATCATATCAACTTAGAAGTTTAAACGAAATGTTGGTTGGCTCCTTGTTTGTTACTCTCTTCCCTCACTTTCTTTCATGTCTCCATTATTAAGGACAATTATAGGCATACCCATATTTAGACTGCATTCTAGCCCGGGCAACAAAGCAATACCCCCATTCTCTCTCCTTCTTCCTCTTTCTCTTTCTTCCTCTTCTTTATTCTTTTTCTTATTATTCTTTTTCTCTTTCTAAAAAAAAGAAAAAAAAATTGAGTGAAAAGCTGTTCATGTACAGGGTGAGTTCGATGCTCTCCAGAGTCACATCCAGGCGCAGCGCATAAGATTTGGGTCGATTAAAGTTCTGTTGAATCAACCTGAAGGAAGCAACACTAGTAAGGGTTGAAGTTTTCTCAAAAGAATTCAATCGGGCCGGGTGCGGTGGCTCACACCTGTAATCCCAGCACTTTGGGAGGCCGAGGCAGGGTGGATCACGAGGTCAAGAGATCAAGACCAACCTGGTCAACATGGTGAAACCCTGTCTCTACTAAAAATACAAAAAAATTAGCTGGGCATGGTGGCACATGCCTGTAATCCCAGCTACTCAGGAGGCTGAGGCAGGAGAATTTCCTGAACCCAGGAGGCGGAGGTTGCGGTGAGCCGAGATCGCGCCATTGCACTCCAGCCTGGGTAACAAGAGTGAAACTCTGTCTCAAAAAAAAAAAAAAAAAAAAAAAAATTCAATCGATATTGATTTAGTTCAAGCACTGTAAAGTTTAAGTTGTAAAAACTGAGTCAATTTCTATTAATTTGATGTCATAACTTTTATTAAGCATTCTAAATTTTCTATCTTTTTAAAAGAAAACCTGGGCTCTTTCCATGTCAGAAAATAGTTTAAGCAAAAAGATTAAGCTCTGAGTGTTTATATGGAAACATTCATGCACTTGTTGTCTAGCCGGCACTCAGGAAATGTTAGCTGTATTGTACTGAGGCACAAACATGTATTTGACAAGAGTTTGCTTTCCTTCAATCACTGCAGGAGTATTTGTTTTGTTTATTTCTCTACCCTGGAAACCTGGTGCTCAACAAGTATTAAACGGAAAATCGGCAATTGTGCTGTGGTAAAATAATAATAATATAGTAAAATGCTATTCTAATCATATTCTACTTTCCCCACCAAATTTCCCATAATCAATCATACATTTCAGTAATAGCTCACTTTACTTTAGCAAATATGTTCATATTCATGACAGCATCTGGTCACACCTATATAGGTAGATAAGTATTCTCATTCTCATCTTATCAATGGGGGAAAAACAGAGGTTCAGGGAGATTAAATAATCCCATTAGTGACTAGGATACACATCCCTGCTTCAAGATTCCCTGTTCAGAACATTTCTAATAAACATGAGGGTTTATGCCAGCTTCAGAGGTACAGATCAAGAAAAGAGAAAGGCTGAACAATTTCTTCTCCATTTGATGACTTTTTGCTTGCTTTTGCTTTGACTTTGTGTCTTCTATAAACCTGCAGTGTCATCTCTATTTCTTCAGTATCTACTTGCAATCATTGTTACATTTTTATGTTATTTGTGGATAAAAATGGTAAGAACTATTTCTTTCACTCCAGTAAGACGATCCAACTTTCTAAATGTAAGATTTTTCCAAAGACACTTGTTCATGATGGATCTAGGGCAGGGGGAGGAGAGTCAAGAAAGCGATTGTTCCTATAGTAGTAAAATGTTCCAACGAATTGAAACACATCGTTGTCTACATGGTTTTTGAAATTTCCTTTAAGAAGCTTGCTTCAGTGGTTAGCTGTGCAGTGAAAAATTCTTCCCCACATATAAACAAATTTTCTCGGGGTCTGTGTGAAGCCTGTTACATCACATATTTCTGGTCTGTATGGAAATGAAGGACATCTGCTTCTTTGCTTCTTGAGTAGTACTTAGAACATTAAAAAATTGCATTCTCCTCACTCGTCTTTCCTCCGACCTCTTCCGAAGAATTGCACTTAAACTTGAAGATAATAGTAATTACCTAGGCCACTTAAATTAAAGACATTAGGAAGATTAACCTCTTCTCTTGCTTTTGTAGTAATTGTTTTAAGTACTTTGTTTTTTTAGGAAGAAATTTTTTAGGTCTAAAATAGCAGGTATATGACCATTTATTAACCTCTTATTCAACCAGGTGATTTGGAACAAAGAGAACAATGGACACCATTCTTACTCCAGAATAGTTTATGATCTAATTTGGCAGGACACAATAAACAAGTGTGGTACAGTGAGAGAGTAATTTCATGGTAACACATATTTGTGTGAGAACGTGGCAGGTCCGGGACTGTTTCTTGATCTTATCTAAGTGAGACTTCTCTGAATTCGGCAAGAATAGTATTGTTATCTAGGGAACACTGTGAGGAAAAGGTGTATCTAGGGAGGGATTTTAATGGAGGCATATGATTTAGGGATTAGAGGATTTTTCCATGAACATCAAAAGGTGTCACCAAAGGCAAAGATGTATGAATGAGCAAGCTGTATTCAGAGTATAGGGAAATGGGCCAGATAAGCTGGAGTCAAAGGTCCAATTTGAGAACAAGATGAACTCAGCTAGCTTATGTTAGATTATAGGGGGTCTTTGAGATTCCTTTGCCCCTGTGGTACTGTCCTATTGCTAAATGCACAATAATTGTCAGATTGTAATATTCCCTGTAACTCACTTTTTTGTACCTTATTTTTCAGATATTTATCGATCAATAACATGTCTGAATTATGGATTATTCTCACAAATCAGTGTTTGGTTTCTATCTTTTCTATAAAAAAATGTGTTTTACCTTTGAAAACAAGTCTTTTTTGCTCTGCATTGATTCTTTATTTATTTATTTATTTATTTTATTGTACTTTAAGTTCTGGGATACACGTACAGATCTTGCAGGATTGTTGTAAAGGTGCACACGTGCCATGGTGGTTTGCTGCCCCCATCCCCCCATCACCCACATCAGGCATTTCTCCCAATGTTATGCTTACCCAGCCTCCCCACTCCCTGCTGTCCCTCCCCTAACTCTGCACCCCCCAACAGAACCCAGTGTGTGATGTTCCCCTCCTGTGCCCATGTGTGCTTATTGTTCATCACCCACCTGTGAGTGAGAACATGTGGTGTTTGGTTTTCTGTTCTTGTGTCAGTTTGCTGAGAATGATGGTTTCCAGATTCATCCACGAACATATGTGTGCATGGGTATTTATAATAGAATGATTTATAATCCTTTGGGCATATTCTGTTGTCTCCAGATTTTTTAATGATCA